CAAAAGAAGAAAGGACAAACAAAACTACATGAGGAGAGTGAGCGGTACTTTCCAAGATATAGACTTATAAATCTATCACAAAGCGATTGCAGAAGTCTTAGAGAAATAGCCATTGAGTTGTTTATACGACTCCGCCTTAAAGTCGATTTTTTAACTGCGAATGACGTATTCGCACAGAACAGTCAGCCAAACATCGCGATTGTATATACATATACGCAAATACCTCGCCTTTTAGAGAAACAAATTCACTGCGAATACATTCTCTGCATTTTAATTGATTCTTTATTGCCTGCAAATGATTAAGCGCCAAAAGCTGTACGTACGTACAACTATTTGTTTATTTTCATTCCATTCTCACTTTTGGTTTTCTATTACTGTTTTTCAATATGTTACGCATTTATCGCTGCCCCAACTGGAATGAATATAATAAGTTGGTCAAGCGATAAGTTGTAAAGGAAATGCGTGCTACATTAAACAAAACCAATGCTTATATGTATGTATATGTATAACTATATGTATATATATTTATATTTACAAGAAACCGCCTTGGCTTATCAGCGCCAACGAGCGCCATACATACCCTTATGAGAATTATGGGAATGTACATTTGATTTCTAAACAACAAATCGCAGGCGCCGCGATTTTGAATGGCAACGGTCACAATTTGCATACGAAACGCATTGGCCAAAACGTATCTGATGGATACGCAGCGCACGGACACAGCCAGCGGCAGCTGCTTAATATGCATGCAGCAGCAGCTGAAGGCTGAAGGCTACTGAAATCGATAGACAGCAGACACCATACGACAACAACAACAAGAATAACAATAATGGATATTTTACAATGCACTGGGACAGTGTGAGTGGAATATGCAATTATCTTAGACCGCAAGATAGGCATCAAGCGAAGCTTCGAGAAGAGAACAAGAGAGAACATGGGAGAATGAGAGAGCCATAGAGAGATTGATTTCGATATGGTGAGGGAGATAAACAGATAGAGAGAGAGGGAGACAGGTAGAAAAAGAGATAATAGCAACAGCTCTTCGTAATTTGATTTATCGCTCTCACAGATTATATATCCCATAATAAACATTTTATAAACTAAACATAAATCAATTTTATAATCGAATTTTCTTCTCGCAAAATCTAATAATATTTCTTGCATTTGAAATTAAAATGAAATACAGAAAATTGCCAAAAGCTAAGCCGTACACTATATACAAAATGAATGTCGTAGTCAATTTTTATAGGGGTTTTTCCTAGATCTATTAATAATGCAACCCCCTGGACAACACAAAATGCGTCTTAAATCTGAAAAAAAGTAGAGTGCGGGAAATGTCAAGGAAAATTCACCGGATGCAATGAAATCAACAAGAGTTTTCGCAACCACCCGTCGCGTGGCTCGAATTGCCAACATCCTTGCCATAATCCCAAGGCGAGCATGCGAGTTCTGGACTAATGCCACGTTCAAACGCATTGCGAATGGCGCCAAGAAGTCGTAGCCGTCTCGCATCTTGGCAGCCCTCTGAAGGTCTCTGGCAATGGCAAAAATCGATGCTGGGATGCTGTGCAACAAAGAAAAAGATTTGCACTTAGGGTGCGACCCCAAGCGAATATATATATATACACATATATGTACATAACTCTAATCTACAATCAAAATGCGTTTCTTGACAACTTGGCCTTGAGCACATAAATCGCCGACGCCCCCAGGACCACGCCCGGTGCTTTAATTGGAAGCCGTTGGGGACGCAATCTCTGCTGCCGCTGCTGCCACTGCTGCATATGGAGGGGTGTGTGCCACAATGTTAATCATGGCGCACACGTTAGCTAAATTAACGGCCCGACTGCAAACAGTAATTGGAACTGCTAAAAGATATATGGGCCCAAGTTCTTGTCCATTTTTTAAGGCATTACATTCACGTCTGTCTTTCGTGAAACATAAAAACTCTTGTTTTGTGCTTGTCGACAATTTATATTTAGCTATAAATGTTCGTGTCATTAAAACTAAAATAGCTAGAAATGGCTAATAAAAAAACTGCCAAAACAAAAGACAAATAAGTTTAGAGTTGAGAGTTATGTTTTGGACTTTGGCTAATTGCGGCGCGTTTCACATGCGAGTCAATGTCATGAAAACCTATTGAAAAACCACCATAAAAAAAAATAACAAGAGAGTTTTGTTTACTTTGAATCGAGTTTTGTTGGCGGCATTGAACGCTGAGTGGATTGGAGATTGGAGAGTGGAGAGTGTGAAGGAGTTAAGGGAGGAGAAACCTCAACCTAAAGACAATGAGATGGAGGGACAAGTGCCTGATGTGCGCTAAGATATAAATAGAGCAAGATGCACATACTTATATAGATAGAAGAAGCAGAAGATGATATTCAGATGGAAGAAAGGAAATTTTAAGATATATCTAAATTAGACATATTTTATAATTATATATATTAATTATTATTATTTTTGATTTCTATATCTTTTTTTTTTATAAATAATTATACGAAATACCAATTACTATACAAAATATATATAAAGAATTGCAATGTTTGTTCATAACTTAATCACATAAGAAATGTTTAGACAGCTGCAATAGTTGGCAAAAAATAAACAGCTGAGAAACCAATCAAGAAACTTGAGATTTATGTGGCATAAATATCAATGGAAATAAATGAAAAATAATTATAAATATCCAATGGGTAATTCAAGCTGCATTTCTATCATTTTGTAAATACTTTGATAGCAACTCAATAATAAATAAATCACATTATTACAGCTGTGACCTACCCCAGGTCTAAATTTAGCCACAAAGTTCTGCTGCGCCTACACCTGACTAGGGAACGTGTTTATCGAATCGAACATTCTTAGCACTAATCAATAAGTTTATTTAGATTATGGGCCAACGGGCACAGCAGCCCAATATAATCACTAAACGCAAAGGCTGCCCTCCACCGCCCCCTTGCCCAAAACAGATTTTCAGTTGACGGGCGACTATTTTTAGCGCGTGCGAAAGAGATAGCAGAAGGTAGACGAGGGCGTCAACGAACCAAATAAAAGAAAGACAGGAAAAAAAAACATACAAAAATATAATAAAGAAAAAAGAAATTCACCTAAAATAACGACTGTTTTTATGACAATTTTATTTGATTTAATTTTTATTTTCTGCTTTTTGCATATGCAAGGGGCCAAGTTGTAATGGACTTAAAGAGACGTCGGCGCATGCTTTAAATTTAATTAAAGTGAAAATTTTGTTCATAACAAAAAAAAATGAAAGAAAAGGAAAAAAGAGTAAAAATAAAACGAAACAAAAATGCAAAGAAAGTTTTGTTGTTATTTCTTTCGACGAGTGGCGCTTGGATTTACTTTGGCTTTGGCTTTTGGTTTTTTTTTTTGGTTTTAGCTGCGGCTCGTGGTTTGGTTTTTATTTTGAATTTCTGATACTTATTTCTATTTTTATGCAGGCCTCGCAATTGACCCGCTTATTAGCCAGGCTTGAAGCTTGGAATTTGCATGAAATAAAAATAACAATATTTTCGTTTACGTGTTTAAATCAATTAAACGTATTTAAGACTCGCCTGCCTGCACACTTTTCTTTCTCTGTATCTCCCTCTACCTTCCTCCCGCTCCCACTCTTCTTCCATGCTCTCCTTGCATGATATGCAAAATATTTTTTGTTTCCATGTCTCAAACAAAAGAAATATTTCTGTATTTTTTTTCTTCTATGGCGCAAATTGTTTATGCAAATTTTGAAATGTTTATGGCAAAAGAAATAACAATAATTGGCCACAGTAGCTACTGATTTTTACTCATTTTTTTCGCGTTGGTTCTCAAACAATGAAACGCGATTGAGTTGTAAATTTCTGATTGACTGGGAGAAAACGCCTTGATGGATCCATCAAAAGAATATTTGACGTCGAGTGTTTGCATTAGCGAGCCTTTACTGTCTCTTGCAATATATGCTTCAAATATTTCACATTTTTTCATATGTTGTACTTTCATCCTAAATCCGAAATGCAAATAACTTCCTTCGCATTAGTCAGCTTTTAGTTTTGCAAACTATCAAAATCCGGAAACATTTCAGTTGCAAAAAGGTGAAGAGAAAGGGAAAGGGTTAAAAGCTAATAGATAACGCTGACTGCGACTGTCTAGACATGCAATTTTATCCTGCCAGAGAGCAGAGAAGCGTCTGCTCTGCAGAGCTGCTGCGATGGCAGTTTTACACACAAACTCAGTCACACACACACACACACACACACACAGACAGACAGTTTGATAGTCTGACTGGCACACACCTACATAGAGATATACCGAGTTTGAGGGTGTGCTGCCGGCTGTCACGCAAAAACTACCCCCGAAATTGAAATCGAAATTGGAAATATAAAAAGAAATTGCATCGAACCGAATAGCAAGCAGTAGAAGGAAGCAGCCAAAACGTGATAAGCACTAAAAACTACAAAGTCCAACCACCGCTTACCAGCTGAAGCAGCAAATTTCAATGCAAAAGTGGGAGAAGGCGGGGGCGGCGCTCAGGTAAAACGCCAAAAACGGGCGTGACAGCAAACGAGTTAAGTAAAAATGAAAAAGCAAAAAAAAAACAGCTGTGTGCCAAATGGCGGCAGGAGGCCGTGGAAAAACAGTTAAGAAAAAAAATCAGTTGACGGCTGGCTGGAACAGACCCAAAAATACAACAAAAAATATAGAATTCAGCAGCAGCAACAAAAGCAACAAAAACCACAACGAGAAGAATTCCACGCTTGCGGCCCGCAATTTACATAAAACACGCAAAACCGGTTTATTGTATCTTTTTTTCTTCTTAAGTCGTCGCTCTGTTGGTCAAGAGACAGAAAGAGAGAGAGAGCAAGAGCCAGAGCAAGAGAGCGAGTTCAGCCTCGCGAGAACATTTCAAACATACGCTTGCACTTTAAGCTTGGAGTACAACAAGCAAACAAGAGAAGAATAACACGAAACAAAAAATGAAATAAAATAAAATAACTACAACAACTTACCCATAGCTCAGTACCCCAACTCATTTTGTTGTTGGAGCTTGACGCTGCTGCTGCTGCTGCGCTTTCTGACTCTGCCAGTTTCTGCTGCTGCGCTGCTTTAGCTTGATCCGTTTGCCACTGTTGTTATTGTGATTAGTGTTGTAAACAACGGCGGAAGAGCGTGGAGCGAGAATAAAAAGAAGAGTAAAAACTGAGAATTTTTGTTTCGTTTTCGTTGCCTTTGCGTTTTGTCTAATTGTCTGTGAACGAACAACGATAATAACAACGACAGTAACAACAGCAAAAAGAAACTAAAAAAAAATAGAGCGATTTCCAATTCTCAGAGTTTACACAGGCAACGCTTGATGCAGACGTGTCCACAGTCGCAGCAGCGACGCCGGCTGCGGCAGCGGCAGGTAGATCAAATGCTTAAGGAATTTGAATTAAGGAATGGGATATGTTGAATGGTGAACAGGGAATGGGAACGGGGCAGAAGTAGTTGATAGGACTCTTTAAAGTGCTGCCAATCGCAAACAAATAAAAAACATATAAAACCGGCCACCGCCAACGCCGACAGTGCTGCTGACGTCAGGAAATTTTTCGTGCACTGGCATTCACTACAGCCTCACGAGACCGAGAGAGAGAAAGAGAGAGACGGCGAGATTTTCAGAGCGTGGCTGCATTTCGTAATTGGGAGAGCGCGAGAGTCAATTGGAATCGAAACGCAATCATTTATTTACGACTGTCGATACATTAATTTATTAAACACATTTCGCCGCGCACGCCTTTCTGTGATTGCATTTGCTATTAGTTTTAATATGAAATTTAAATGCTGGTAAACAACGAACCACAATGGTTGCAACAACAACAACCATTCGATGCCAGACCAAACAATAAGCAATAGTGCCTATTGTTGTTTTTTTTTTACATAATTTCGCACACACACATACACTGGAGCGCACACAATCACACACGCACACAGCAACGAGCATAAACCGAGTGCACGCACTCTGCTTCTTTTATTCTGGGTTGCTGGCTTTTTTCGCGTATCGAACTGAAGTGCAGCGTTTGAGATTTTTGTTATTTTTGGCGTTGTTCAAGTGTTGCACAATATTTTATCACTTTGATATGCGCTTGCACTTAGTATGCGTCATAATTTAGGCGACACAAACACACACGGACACAATTTAATTGTTGTTTTTCTTTCTTTTCTCGCGAAAACAACAGAATGCGCATCCCGTAAACTCTTACCTTCGGCGATTCGATTGCAACTAAACCGAAGCTCAGGAGTGTGACCATATCGCGAATAGTTAAAAACACCAGTAGTATACAATCGATACGCGCTGTTATCGATAGCTATATGGCGAGTTACAAAGTAACGAGTAATTGGAAAATTTTCTTCGTTATTTTCAAATAGCTTTCGTTGCATAAAAAGGAGACATTTATATTTTGTAACAATTACATATAATTTATTTATTTGTTAACTAACTAAATAGCGGACATTTTGCATTAGTACTTTCGCAGTTTCCAGCTTGCGTCGTTAATTGTTGCATACATACATAAGTGCAATTCATAAATTTTGCATTAAATTATATACAGTTAGGATGCAATAACAATTACAAATATTCATTTCAAATCGTTGCTTAAGCTAAAACAGAAATATATATATGCTTTTGTGTGTGTGTGTGTTTGCAGTCATTGGACATTTAATCCATTTGCTGAAATTGGTATTCATTTTAGTTCGAGAGTATTTCGCACAGATTCGAGACTTATTAGTTAATAAATATAAAATAGACAAGGTCAAATACTAATTGATATATCATGCTATACTAAATATGTTGTGCCCGAACTGCTAGCTAATTGGCTCGATCTCTCTAACTCTGCTGCAGCAGCACCTCTGCAGCTAACTCCAAACTCCAGCCGGTCTGCTGCAGCGCCTGCTCGCATTGCGGCCTGCCGGCCACGCCCAGCCGTGTCAGCTGATCGATCTTGTAGTGCCTCATTGCAAGTTGGACGTCGCCGCTGGCGGCACGCAGTGCATTGCGCACATCCTGCTCAACGGCGGCGCTGCCCAGCTCGAGCATCAGCTGTTGTAGCTTCTCCTGCTCCCGCTGCGCCTCTGCCGGCACTGGCGCGTACAGCTGATGAGCGCCCTCGAGTTGCTGTTGCTGCTGCTGGCGCATTTTGTCCAGACGCCGCTGAATCTGCTGTGCCGAGAGTGGGGGCGGAGCCAGCGGCGCCGGCCGATGCGGACGCAGATAATCATCTAGCGGCACCTCATCATAGATGGCTGCACCACCATTGGCTCCATTGGGCACCTGGCCGTAATAGGCGGATCCGGCCATGCTTGCAGCCACGGGATCATAGCGCTCGCTGCCAGTGGCTGCTATGCTGCCATAGAGCGAGGCGCTGGAGGCGTAGACGCTGCTGCTCTTGGGAGCCACCACCCGATTGGAGATGGCCACAAAGGAGTGATTTGTCTCAGGCTGCTGTAATTGCAGTGAGTGCAGATGATTCTGATACAGTTGCTCTGGCTGCTCGGGCGGTGGCTGGGCGTAATACTCGGAGGGCGTGGCTGCCACACGCTCATACCAAATGCGATTCACTAGACTCTGCGTGCTCGTGGTGGCGGCTGCTGCTGCTGCTGCGGCGGCGGTCTCCACATTGTTCTGTTTGGTTGTGGGCGAAGCCTGGCTGGCATTGGATGTGGGACTGGAGTGATTCGAGTGATTCCCACTGCCAGCGGCATTCTTCAGAGGTGTAAGATTCTGCTTATAGACGATCTCTTTGTTGGCATACATTTGCGCCGAGTTCCGCTGGTAATCCTCCTGTGCCTTGTTGCTGCTGCTGTACATGTCCTTCTCAAGCTCGGCTATAAAGGACTTGTCCAGCAACACGCTCTCCGATGTAGCCGGCGGCTGCTGCTGTTGCTGCTGCACCACCTCATGCCGCTCCAGGGAGAGATTGCTCAGATTATACTGCATGGCAGCGGACTCCAGGGCAGGAATGTTCTCCTTGTTCGCATGCCCATTGGACATGCCAAAGAGATTCTTGCGTGCGGCCGGACTGCCATAGATGGGAGCAACCACAGCCACTGGGTCAGGAGTTGGCGCATTCGAGTAGAGCATTAGAGCACCAGCATTAGAGGCCTCCAGGCTGCTCGTATCGAACGGATCCCGAACGGGCGTCTGCTGCTCGCGCTTCTGCTGCTGGGCAAACTCCATGGTGTTGGAGTAGGTGGGCGGCATTTGATAGGGCGGCGGCTGCAGTCGAGCGGGCGAGGCGCCGTTCGCCTCGAAGTCAAACTGCGGCTGTTCGTTGAAGTAGGTGGGCGTGTTGGGGCCCGAGCTTGGGCCCGCACCACTCTCATTGAACGTGGGCACATCAATGGGCGCATCCAGCAGGCAGAAGCTGCTGTCCAGCTGCAGCGAGGAGCTATCGCCCATACCCAAGCCAGCGGTCGGTCGCATCTCTGGCGAGATGTCGATCAGTATGCCCTCCTCCTGCTGGTGCGGCGGCGGCGGTCGCTGCGGACCCACCAGGCTCTTGGTCTTGACCGCATTGCGCCGCTGCAGTCCAGCCGAATCGTTGACGAGTTTGTTGTAGGCGAACTGCTTGCTCGATATCGACTTGCGCTCCTTGGCATGTGCATCCTTGCCATGCGATGGCGGCGTTCCTTGCGGCTTCAGAGAGGCGCACTTGCGCTGTCGCTCTTCGCTGTTGGACAGCACCGCACCACCAGCACCTGCACCACCACCCCAGCAGAGGCCAAAGGACGAGCCATGCGCTGAGCTGTTGCTGCGCATTTGAACCTCGTTCTGACGACGCTGCTCCAGCAGGGCGCGCGGAAAGATGCCAATGTCGAAGGTGCGCTGATTTTGGCCCTTGATAAGCTTCAGCTCCGAGCGGCCATCGATGATGGCAATGGCATCGCCCGGCTCGATCTGCAGGCCCTTGGCATCATGATAGCTGCGCGAGGCGCGCATTACAGGCGGCGACATGCTGGCCAGGTATTCCCTGCAAGGGAGAGGGTAAAGACAAAGATTAGCAATAGCAAAAGTGGATCTAAGCATAACTTACTTGAGTGCTGCGAACGTGGGCCGTTCCGCTGGCGTCTTGTCCCAGCACTGAAGCATCATGGCGTAGACATCGGGTGGACAGGCATCCGGCTGGTGCAGGCGCTCGCCCTCTCGATCGATCTTGCGCAAGATCTGCGATCCGTTCAGCCCCACCCAGGGATCCTCGCCAAAGCTAAACATCTCCCACAGCGTCACACCAAACATCCAGGTGTCCGAGGCATGCGAGAATTGACGAAAGCGCAACGACTCGGGCGCACACCAGGGAAACGGCACCTTCTTGTGCTCAGACATCACATAGCAGTCGTCCTCCTGGGGTAGAGCACGCATGAGACCAAAGTCTCCAATCTTAATCTTATTGCCAGCGGCCAGCAGAACATTGCGGCAGGCGAGATCACGATGCAGAAAGCGCTTCTGCTCCAGATAGGCCATGCCAGTGACGATCTGCACGGACCAGTTCCAGATGTGGGTCAGCGAGGTGTGGCGGCACTGCTTGCGCAGCGTGTCCAGCAGCGAGCCACGCTCCGCCAGCTCCGTTATCATCATCATGGGCTGGGAGAGCACCACGCCGTACAGACGCACCAGGTTCGAGTGATCGAGGGCGTGCATGGCCTGCACCTCGCGGAAGAAGTCATCGATGATGCCCGGCTGGGTCAGATTGTCCGACTTGAGCACCTTTACGGCCACCTGGAGCACCTTGCCAGACGGCGAAGCGCTCCACTCGCCGCGTCGCACCACACCAAAGGAGCCATCGCCGAGCTTCAAGCCCAGCGTGATGTCCTTCTCGTGGATCAGGCACGTCAACGCGCCCGGTTGCATGTTCTGCTGCTGTTGTTGCTGCTGCTTCTTGGACGAGGGCTGCTTGCCCCCACCGATCAGCTTCGAGAGTATATTCTTGCGCCACTGATGCGCCTTCTTCTTGCGCACCGCATCCATCAGCCGGCGAATGGCGGGCTTACCCAGCCCGCAGCGCTCCAGATCGTCGCGCAGGACATAGTCAAAGTGCGCCAGCCTAGTCACCTGCAGATCATCACGTATGCGCTCCAGGAACTGCTCCAGCTGCACCTCGCGCAGCAGATCCTCCAGCCAAGCCGTCTCGCTGACGCCGCCGTCGCCACCCGCAGGCGAACCCATTATCCGGTGTACTGCAAGAAGCATTGATCAAAACGGGGTAAAATTAATTTGTAAATTTTAAAAGTTAACGGAACTAATATATGTACGAGCCAGTTTTAGGGCAGAGCAGTTAAAAAAAAAAAGGTGGAATAAGTGTCTAGGCTGTAAGGAATAAAATTCCTATTTAACAAGTTTTTAAAAAAGATTTTTGATAAGATTTGCAAATTTATATTTTTAGTTTTTTTGGTTTTGTATTGTTTTCTTCTTTTCGTTTTTGAACGGAACTTGACAAAGTTTTTAGGAAATGGCTTTTTCAGCTTGGCAAATCCTTATAATTACTTAAAATACATTCTTTTGCTTTTGGTATTTTTCGCAACATTTTGACATAGTTTTAATATGTGACCATTCACTCTTGCAAAAAGCTGCATGCATTGAAATTTGTTTGCTTTTCATTTTCATCTTTCTACCTAATTGTGGTACTTCCCACGCTCACGAAATATGGGAAATTTCGATTTGCATGCTGCTCACGTATGCTCTCTGTACGGGAACTCTTTGAATTGTTTCGAACATTTTGAATAGGGGTTGGAGGGGCGTGCCTTCATACTTGTTGCTTGCTTCGCCTCGGTCTTCAAATGGCCACAGCGAACTTGAACCCAGAGTGTCATAACATAACGGTCCTAAAGTACTTTGTTAGCGAAAGTGCTATATGACAGTAAATGGACAAACAGCAAATTAAAATTGCCGACGCATTGTCTCTGTCGGCGTCGGCGTCACCGTCTGCGTCGCCGCTGTAGCTTTATTATCAATAGTAGCATTACGTCAGCTATAAACGGTGACAGCGCAAGCGACTGGCTCAACGCAGAATGCGACAGAGACAGCAACTGCGCTGCAGCAGCTGCATGCAAGTGGGCCATGCATGATGGAAGTGAGTGACAGAGAGAGAGAGAGAGGGAGAAGCGGAATGAGAATGAGAAACCGAAACCGATACTAAGCAAATGAGAGAGCAGCCCCAACTACAGACAGAGCATTCGTGACGTCAAATTTGAGCTCCGACTGCAACGAGTTTCAAAAGAATTCTCGGCGCGTGCTAAAGTTGCGGTTGCAAACGATAAGAGCCGGAGGTAAGTTGTTTGAGTAAGTACAGAATGAAGGCAGCCCGTATTTTTAGAGCCGCTGACAAAGATTTATTCCAGCGATAGACTTTGCAAAAAAAAAAACGAGCTAATAACGCCTAACAAAGCCATTGAGCAATTACTAAGACGGAAACAATTAGTGTTGTAAAGCGGATGCGACGACACAGAAAAAAAATCATACATTTTCAAACGGCTTGGAAAGTGGATATTCCACAAATTGGAATATTCAATATTCACAAAGACTGCATTATTTCTTTTTTAGTATAAAATAAAAATACTAATTTATATTTGTTTAAAATATCAAACTTGTAAACGATCATTAATTTATATTTTCAGCCAAATGACACAGTTCAAAATTTCAAACTGTCGCTTCCAGAAATTGGAAAACTGTGCACTATATCCTTTACTAATTGTACAAACATAATGTCAACGTTAATTAATTTCTATACTCAGCCCCATTCACTGTCCATTGTAATCCGAATTTGTGGTGGCGATCAACCACCACCGTAAAAAAAATGGAACAGTTGGCTTAACAAAGGGATACAAAAGATTTACAGTTGTGTGAATTCCCAATAGATTGGTAATAGGAACAGCAAAAATGGAACACTTACCAAAGTGAGCTTCTGTCGAGTGGGTTTTTTTTTTCTCTTTTTGGGAGCAGCTGCAGCCGCTGCTGACCGAATAAAGTCACAGGCTGTGGCTCAGCGAAGCGTTGACGCTTCCGTTGTCGATGTTGTTGTTGTTGTCGGCTGCTGCACTTTGCGAAACTTCCTGTCTTTCTGGTAAACAGGTTGTGAAGATGAAACTGAAACTCAATATGTGTGTACAGCTTGGACAGACGTCGCAGTCGCAGCCGCAGCAGCAGGCGCAAGGTGAAGGACGTCGACGTCGGCGGCGCCGTCTGCGTTGTCTTTGTTTGTATGTGTGTGTGTGTGCTGCTTTGTTTACACTCGCACAAATAGCAGCTGGCTCGAGATGCGGCTACGTTGTACATGGAAATTGGCCATCATCGCCGTCATAATCGAGACGAATTGAGGGGCAGGAGGAGACCGCTTTATATTAATTTAGTTGGTCCCCCACACACACACACGCAAACACTAATGCACAATCCGCACTGCTGCCCCGCTATCTGCTCTTTTCCGCTGCTGCTGCTGCTGCTGCTGCTTTCGTCGTCACAGTTTTTTGCACAATTTTTCTTGCGTTTTTACCCTTTCGTTGTCGTTTGTTGTTGTTGCCAGCGTTTATTTTGTTACATATTCCTCGCATTAGTTTTGTGTAATTTCGCATAAATTAAACAAAAATTAACGTTTTCCATGGAAATGCGCGCACGAAAGACAGCACAAAATAAAGACAGCGAACAAAAATATGCGAGGGGCGAATGCACGAAACGAAGCTTTAGCTATTGCTGTTGTTGCTGCGTTGACAAGCGCGACAGAGCTTTTATTCGAGTCACGTTTACGGCTTGTGTTTCAACAGCAGATAACAACAAAAAACAAAGCGCGAGGCTTAATTATATTTTGAAAATAAAATCTGCTGGTAAAACTCGTGCGACGCAGACGCCTCCTGCGTATGTTGATATTGTACCAATACTGGACGTCTGTGTTACCGCGTATTGAAAGCGATAATATACTGTCTTCCAGTGTCTGCAATATACTAAACATTCATGCGACTCTTAATTGCGCCATCAGTGCGGTCACACTGCACATGTGTGTGAGTAGCCGCTTCGCGCTGAATGCCAGCTGTTTTTAAGCACACGTGCGGCGAGTTGAGGTTCTTAGAGTCTGTGTTTGATTTAATGTTAAATTGCTTAAATAAGCTAAAAACATGCCGGCAGCTGTAGCTACAGGTGTGCAAATCAATGGTTCATTGAAAAACAAAAAGATTGTATTTAATGACGAGGGCGAGGCTGTGACGAAGCCCAAGTGGGAGAAGCACAATAACAATAAAGGTGCGTCAAATGGGCAGGTGAAAAAGCCGCAGAAAATTAAATTCGGTGAGGATGAACATGCGGCAGAGAAGGCTACAGTAGTAACAAGTGTGAAAAATAAAAAGATTGTCTTCAATGACGATGGCGAGGCTGTGACAAAGCCTAAGTGGGAGAAGCAAAACAACAATAAAAACGCGTCTAATGGACTGACGAAAAAGCCACAGAGAATTAAATTTGGCGCTAATGGCGGTGCAGAAGAGAAGGCCGCTGTACCTACAGGCGTGAAAAACAAAAAGATTGTCTTCAATGACGACGGTGAAGCTGTGACCAAGCCCAAATGGGAGAAGAATAACAAAAGCAAGCCACAAAGTAATAAAAATGCGTCAAACGGCTATGTTAAACAGCCGCAGAGAATTAAATTCGGCGACGCAGAAGAGGAAGTGCAGCCTGAAGAGCCCAAGCCGAAGCCAGCTAAAAAGGGCAATCATTTAGTCTTTAACAATGATGGCGAAGCAAAGAAGCCACAGCGCATAAAATTCGACGAAGATGGTGAAGAGAAAGAGCCAGGATCAGACAGCGAAAGCGAAAATGAAGCGGTTGAAGGTGCACAAAAGAAGCGAAAGAAGCAACAGTTACAAATGGACGATTACGACTCCCAGAAGAAATGGTATCAAGTGGCAAGTATTCTTGAAAGTTATATAAAGATGTAAAAAATATAATTTAAATTTATTTATACAGTACACGGAATACCCCAGCAGCGATGAGGTGCTGGACATGAAGGAGAACGACCAGCTGGAGCTGTTTAATCTGTGCAAATCCGCCTTTGAGTCAGAGAAGACAACATTCAATAAGCGTAAGAGTTTCTATAAATACATGTATAAATGAATATTCAAATATTAAATATATTGCTGTTACAGGCAATCCAACGGACGCTCGCTGGCTGCAAACGGCGCTACACAAGGGCACAGCCAAGGATCGGGCCAACGCCGGTGCTCTGCTTGTGACCAGCAATCCGCTGGGCAATCTGGAAGCGCTCTCTAATCTGATTTCCTTCTGCAAAATATCCAACAAGAGCAGCAACGATGTCATTGCCGTGCTCACGGATCTGTGGCAGGAGGTGCTGCTGCCGCCACAACGTAAACTGTTGGCTATCCATACGCGTGGCGCCGATTGGAAGCTATTGAAGAAGCAGGACTTGGCCAAGGAGAAAACACGTCGCATCTACGCCTATTGGTACTTCGAGAACGAGCTAAAGGATCAGTATCATGAGTACTTAAAGAATCTAATGCAAGGCCTGCAAACGGGCCAAGAACACAACAAAACCGCTGCCATTGTGGCCGCGTCGAAGCTACTCGCCTTTGCACCAGAAAAGGAGCAAATGCTGCTCACGATGCTCATCAATAAGTTGGGCGATCCCATTGCCAAAATCGCCTCCAAGGCGCTGCATCATCTCACCGAGGTGGCCCAGAGGCATCCCAATATGTGCGGCGTCATTGTAGCCGAAGCCGAGAAGCTTCTCTTCCGCAACAACATTGCCGAGCGTGCCCAGCACTTTGCGCTCTGCTTCCTCGCCAGCATTGCGCCGTCGGGCCGGCCGGAGGTGTGCACCAAGTTGGTCAACATATGCTTCGCTCTATTCAAGGTGCTCGTGCAGAAGGGCGCCGTCAACAATCGCACCATGCAAGCGATTCTGCGCTGCCTGCAGAAGGCCATCGTCGAGGCGCAACCGGCCAAGGGCAGCACCGAGCTACTGACCAAGGAGATGCAGGACACCATCTATAGGCTGGTGCACCTGGCCGACATACGCGTCTCGGTGCAAACGTTGGGCCTGCTGCTGCAGCTGGTGACAGTGAAGACCGAGAAATCGGATCGCTTCTACAATGCGCTCTACGTCAAGCTCCTGGATCTGAATCTGATCAACATCGGCAGCAAGACTGCAGCCCAGTTGCTGCACATTGTGCACCGGGCCATCCACATAGATAAGCATGTGGCCAGAGCGCAGGCATTCATCAAGCGCCTACTCCAGCTGGCGCTCTATGCGCCGCCCAACATGTCCGCTGGCTGCTTGATTGTGCTCCATAAGCTGCTGCGCATGCGCCGGGAGCTCGTGGGTGGCATTGGAGACATCGAAATGGCGGCGAGTGCAAAGCAACTGCTGCCCGCTGCGGCAGCTGAGGATCTGGACAAGTTTGGCAGTGATGGCGAGGAGGTATATAAGGATGCCGATGTAGAGCAAAACGAGGCGGAAGTGAAAGAGGAAAAGGCAAAGGAAAAGCAAACTGTAGCCAGCTCATGGCATCATCTGAATCTTGTGGCCACCGAGTCGAAGGTGCGCGAGATTGATGCCTGCAAATATGATCCCTATCATCGAGTACCCGCCTTTGCAGGAGCTGGCTATGCGCTGCGGAACGAGCTGCTGCTGCTGCGTCAGCATTTTCATCCCACAGTGCAGGTGTTTGCTGAGAACATACTGCTAGGTAAGAAGTTAGTCTCATCCGAGCACCATTCCATTTATATTAATTCACTTTCCCTTTTAGAGAAACGCATTGATTACTATGGAGATCCATTGCGTGACTTTGGATTGCCGCATTTCCTGGAGCGTTTCGCTTTCAAGAATCCCAAGAAATTGGACCATCAGCAGGCAGTTGATGGCGCCGCTAGCGTTGCCCACAAACGATACATTTCGTTTGGCGCACGTGGCAAGCCTGTCAAGTCGCTGACCAAAGCAAACTGTACAGAGGACGAAATGTTTATATTCAATTATCTGGAGCATAAGCGCAAGCAGGCGGAGCTGATGGAGCAGACGAAGAAGCAGAAGAAAGTGGAGGTGGAATCAACAGAAGCGGGTGATGATGAGCTGAAAGAGGGTGAAGTGGATGATGATGAGTTTGAATCATATTTGGATGACTTCTTTGGCAAGAAGCTGAAAAAAGACGCGGATGGGGAACAGGACGAAGAAGAGCTCAATTTCCTGCAGGAACTGGGTGGGGAGCTGCAGACTGATAAGTCCAAAAAGAAGGATAAGAAAAAGAAACAAACAGATGATGATGAAATGGATGACGAATGGGATGATGGAGCGGAGGATGACGACGAGGAGATCGATGAACTGTCAGGTGCCGAAGCAGAGGATCAGTCGGATGATGAGGCGGGCTCAATCGATCTGGAGCCGATTGACAACGATGAGGACGACGATGATGATGATGATGGTGATGATGATGATGATGAAGGTTTGATAATGGGTGACGATAGTGATGACAGCGAAGGTCCAGATAGTCCTGACGATGACGGTGATGATGATGACGAAGACTCGCCGCCCAAGAAGAAGAAATCACGCAAGGATGTCGGCATGGATGAACGCAACTTTGCACAGAAGCTGAAGCACAGCGACGGTGCGTATGAATTAAATATTATACATACTTTATATTAATGTTTATTTAAACCTATTTTAGATATGAGCTCTCTGTTCGCTGCTGCGGACGATTTTTCAGCGCTGCTCGAGGAGACTGGCAAAACCAAGGGCCAGGGCACCAGCAATGCGGTCTTCAACAAAGACAAATCGTCTGATAAACAGCTAAAATGGGAAGAGAAACGAAGATCGAATAGCAAAATCTACACAAGTAAAAAGTTTGGCGGAGGCAAAGCTAAGAAAGGAGGAGGAAAGCCAAAGTTGGGCAAAAAGCGAAAACATTAGCTTGGAATTGAGATGAGGCGGGGCAACTGCGACTGGTTTTATATATACAAATCTAATTGTGTTATGAATTATGTAAATAAACAATTAAATGATTTATGCTTAAGTTTTATATATCAAACTATCATTCAATTTCGAATAAGACATCGACGTTGACTTAACTTTTGATTCATGTTAATTTCTCAAAAGCTTTACAGTCTGACGAGCTAGCTCACTGTTGATCATATATCGATACTTTACAGCCTTTGGCCCTTATCGATTACTCGATAGCTGCTACCAATTGCGGTTCTAAAATACTGCAGAAATAATATTTGAATTATTTTATTTTAACTTTCTATACAAACTTTTGTGACTTAAACGCTATCAAGTTAAATTGTGGTTTATATGTCTCTTCTTTCTTTTGTACACCTAAAAAAACGATCAATCGAGCGCTTTGTCTCTGTATATGTGTGTAATTCTTAAAGTAAATCTACACAATATGCTAAAATAAGATATTTGCGATTGATTGTTTATCTTAACTGGTAACTAATTGTTGTTGTTGTCGCCCCCTCGATTGTTGCTTAAAATATGTTTTATCTTTATGTATATGTATATACTATTGGAACCTTAGAAACTATTGCTTCGGTTGTAAAAATTCTCAATTATATTAATCATAATAATGCTTGGGCTCGCAATTGATCTCAAAACCCAGCATTTTGTATTTTGGCTTCCTCTTAGTGGTAATTCATATGTTTATATATTTTTGTTTTTGGTTTAACATTTTTCATTTGTTTTTGTTGTTGTTTGTTTTCTAAGGCAACTTGTTTAAAGGCAACTTTAATATATTATTAAATGTTATTCGCTTTACACTAAACTATTTCGGGTCTTTGTCAAATGCGTTCCACAGAAATTCATATACATATTTTCAAAATAATTTATGTAGATATGTGTTTGTTTTTGTTCTTGTGAGAGTTAAAATCAAAATAAAATTTAATCAAAT